CTGCCGTAATTCTTACACAGATTTCTCTCCGCCATCATCTATGGAACATATATTAGCCTCCAACTTTTTTGGGTTCGTAGTGATATTGACTCACATTTCCATGATATTGCGCTTTCCTATATACTGTATATGTTTTGAAAATAAAAAATATATTATGTCCGAAATTTATGTAATTATCAATTGGGTACATAAATTCGTTTCTGATATGGAAGTATTTCCGGATTTGTTATATATTTATGTAATTGATGTTCCCCTAAAAAAATTACACCCTATTGATAATTTTTCATTTCTTGAGCAGCATCACTTTTTTTATTGATTGGTGTAAAAATTTTGGGGTAGTTTGATGTGAATTTACCCCCAATTTAAACTTTATTGTTGATGCATTATTGCAATTTGGACAATTCTTTTTTTGGGTTCGATAACCCCCATAAACTTAGATGAAGAGCATGTGTGTTGGGTCTTGACAGAACCTAGTGACAATCGACATTTTGGAGCATACACTGCAGCCTGCTGGTGTAACTTTCACTGTTTGTTGTATTTATACAGATCTGAAAGAAAATCTACGATTTAGATATGCAGCAGGGGGTGAGATATCACTTTTTTTCTTGTCCTTTCTTGAACACACATTTGTCCGGCTCTTTCGAGATGCCATAATTGGAGTTAATATTGAACTTGAAAATGGTACTACAATCGAATTTTCTTGATTTTAGTGGCAGATAGCGTTTATTGTACCTCAGAATTGTTTATGTAGACAACTAAGCCCTTATCACGCTGAAAGGAGGACCTTGAAATGTATTTTTCGAATCAAAATATGGGCTAAAGATTATGCTAAACCAGTAATTGAATAATATTTTGAGATGACTTTGAAATTTCGATCAATTAGGGTTCATGATAGGATCAATATTCAAAAAATATGTAAAACTCGAAATTGGGGATTTTGAATTGTGGACAAATATAGACGTATGGGTATGGCGTGTTTGCTGGATTATATTTAAATTGTAAATTGTACCATAAGGGTAGGGCATGTTCGGTGGAGTAAAATCAGATGCCATATTTCACATTTCTTTTTTACTACCTTAAAACAGTAATATTTCATATTCAAAATTTATAAGTAATACTTAAATATTTATTAAATACTAGGGAGATGGTGCAGTTTCCACTTACCCTTAATGCCTCTGACCAAACGTGCCCCAACTAAGACCCAAAAACTAGTGGACTATCCAATGTTTATGGGTTACACCAAAATGGGCCTTCAATTGGGTTTAGACATGGGTTATAAGTAAATATCATAAATGGGCTTATACTAGAGTATTGATCAAGAGGAAATTACATCCACACCTGAAAATAGATTTTCAATTTCACAAATCCAATAACAAGTTCAACATTTAAAAAATCAAGTTTTAATTAATAATTTTAAAATATTTTTTATTTTTATTTTTATATCTATATCTATATACAATAAAATAATTTATCCCCAACCAAACCCTAATCATTCAACCAATTCCTCCCCTGCTCTCTCTCTCTCTCACCACCCCCCCGTCAGCTTCATCTTCTCTTCTCCCTCTCTCACCGCCGCCGCCTCCTCGAAGTGGACTCTTCTTCCACTCATCCCCCTCTCTCGTTTTCACTTTCTCTCGTCTTCTTTCACTCGTCCGCCGCCTCTATCTTCTCCCCTTTCTCTCGATCTCCATCGAGCCGCTGCTGCTAACTCCGGTTGAATTTTCAGGATTGTGGAGCCAGCCCTCCTTGCGGTTGGGGATGTGGAGGTGCAG